TTCACTTCTCCTCGGATACCCACTGCATACAGATGGGGGAGAGCAGCGGGGATCCAGAGGCGGGAGGACAGGACACAGCCGATTGTGATCGACCTTATGGGCACCCCTGATGTACCCCATATGAATCTATCTGATCTTATGATTGTATCATGCCGGGTGCCATGTTATAAGACTTCTGACTACAGAACATGAAGAATGAACATTCCTACCGTTACTTTAATGTTTGTTTCCAGATCATGGACATGACGTTCCAAATACAATAAGCAGACGTCGTACTTCATATGAAGACCATAACACAAAAGATGGCGGCTCAACCCAACGTTCTCCTGGAGTTGACTCCTCTACCCAACCGTTGCATCCCGCTGTTCCTGGAAAAGCTTCCGCTGATAATCCGAAGAGTGATGAAGACAAAACCCAGAAGATCTTTCAATGTTCTGAATGTGAGAAATCCTTCACAAGCCAATCATGTTACGCTGAACATACGAAGACGCACACCGGACAGCGCCCAATAGATGAGGTACAAGAGGTTCTACAACTCCACTTATGACTTTGTATCATTATATGAGGTTCTAGTTTATTTCTATTCTCTGTTCTAATGTCATAATTTGTGTTCCTTAAGTGTGAAAAAGATACGGAGGTACAACCTGAGGTCACCAAGGAAGAAGAGACCCGTATGAGGGGTGGTCAGCAGTCTATGAAGGAAGATGGAATGACCGAGACTATGAAAGAGAAAGAAACTTCAAGTATCACTCCAGGTGAGTAATGACTGCAGAGGCGGGTCTCGTAATCAGTTATATCCCCTCCTCTGTATAACGTCATGTCCCCAACAAATGAGGAGGAGATACTGTACACAATATGAAGGTCCATCTCCATTCCTCAATATAACGTCATGTGACCAACAAATGAGGAGGAGATACTGGACACCATATGAAGGTCCATCTCCATTCCTCAATATAACGTCATGTGACCAACAAATGAGGAGGAGATACTGTACACCATATGAAGGTCCATCTCCATTCCTCAATATAATGTCATGTGACCTACAAATGAGGAGATACTGTACACCATATGAAGGTCCATCTCCATTCCTCAATATAATGTCATGTGACCAACAAATGAGGAGGAGATACTGGACACCATATGAAGGTCCATCTCCATTCCTCAATATAATGTCCTGTTTCCAAATATGGAGTTGGAGGTGGGACCATGTGTGTTGCTCACCAGTGTACTTAAACCATGACCCAGGGCACCATATTTATTTTCTTTGTATTGTACATGTTATCTAATCTTTTGTGTTGGTGTTATGATTGTGTCATGCCATGTGTCATGTTATAAGACTTATAATTAGGGCTGCACCAATACCGGTATTTTGGTATCAAGTATGAATATCCAATATATTTTTGCTACTCGCCGATACCGGAAGTCCCTTTCAGGAAGCCAGGCGGTGTGTAAAGACTCGCCACCCGGTTTCCTGATTAACAAGAAAGCCGCCTCTATGTGACTATGTGATGAGAGAGCATGGAGCCGGCTTGCTGGCTAATCATGGAAGCCGGGCGCCGTGCTTTCCGATTGGCCCGGGAGGCCGGCTCCATGCTCCCTCGTCATGAGATGACGAGGGGGCATGAAGCCGGCTTCCCGGGCCAATCAGGAAACCGGGCGCCGTGTAATGACGCGCTGCCCAGCTTCCTGATACAGGAAGTATCGTGCTAGGCATCTGAGCATTTTGGCGACTACGAGTACTCGCCCAAATACTCAGTATCGGCACCGATACTAGTATCGGTATCGGTGCATCCCTACTTATAATAGAATGACTCCTGACTGCAGAACATGAAGAATGAACATTCCTATTGTTGGGTTTTTCTCCCCAGAACATGGACTCGATGTTCTGAATACGAGAAGCCGACGTCGTACTTCATATGAAGACCATAACACGAAAGAAAACGGCTCAACCCAACGTTCTCCCGGAGTTGACTCCTCTACCCAACCGTTGCATCCCGCTGTTCCTGGAAAAGCTTCCGCTGATAATCCGAAGAGTGATGAAGACAAAACCCAGAAGATCTTTCCATGTTCTGAATGTGAGAAATCCTTCACAAGCCAATCATGTTATGCTGAACATACGAAGACGCACACCGGACAGCGCCCAATAGATGAGGTACAAGAGGTTCTACAACTCCACTTATGACTTTGTATCATTATATGAGGTTCTAGTTTATTACTATTCT